TATATCAGTTGGCCAATTAATTTCTTTCTATTTATAGTAGAGACGGGGTCTCGCTCTTGCTCAGGCTGGTTTTGAACTCCTGACTTTGAGCAATCCGCCCGCCTCGGCCTCCCAAGAGCTAGGATTACAGGCGTGAGCCACAGCGCCCGGCCCTGTTGTAAGGTTTCTTAATGACAATCTTAGTTACTCTCTAGGATTTGTTCAAATTTCTAAAGGTGTTATAAAAATTGTAGAAGGCTTACATTTCATCATTGCTGATACATTTACCTATTAATGAGTAGGCTAATCTTAGGGACTGATAAGAAAGATTGACATCCTGGTTCAAGCATAAGGGATGATTTAGTCTCTTTTTACATGTGCATCAAGGGGTATTCATTTGAGTATGTTCTATCTATGCCTATTTTGTTAAGAATTTTTATCATAAAAGGGTGCTGAACTTTAGATGCTTTTTTAATAGATGCTTTTTCTGCATCCATTGCAATGATCATAAGATCTCTGGATCTCATAAGATTGAGGCTTATAATATTTTCTTTAATATCTTTTATATAGCGAGTCTCAGAAAGCCTCTGAAGTTATGTTAGGAGGCCTTGAGATCATTCTGAGAGGGATAGATAGAAGTAGACTCATAAGTTAGATTATCTAATTTCTTACCATAAATACTTTATAAATTTTATGAATAGGAATACAACACAGAATATCTTACCTAGGTTAATTATTTGAAACTGTCTTTATGAAAAAGTCTTGAGGCAATGTGAATATATCATTAGAAATTGTCTAGTAGGAGAAAAATGTAATTCCATGGTTAAACATATTAGTATTTTGATGAGGATTTTATTGAATCTGTAAATTGATGCCACAGCAATACAAAATGCCATCTGTGAATACTATAAACATCTCTATGCACATAAACTTGAAAGCATTGATGAAATGGACAAATTCCTGGAAATACTCAACCTCACAGTGCCCAATCAAGAAGAAATAAAATTCCTGAACAGACTCAAAACAAGCAATGAAATCAAAGTCGCAATAAAAAAAACTTCCAACAGAAAAAGTCCCAGACCAGATGGTTTCACAGCTGAATTTCATCAGACCTGCAAAAATCATTTCATGATATCAAGAAGGAAGGAATCTTTCTCAATTTATTCTGTGAAGTCAGTATCACCTTGATACCAAAGCCAGGAAATGACACAATAAAAAAAGAAAACTATAGACCAATATCCCTTATGAATATAGATGCAAAAATCCTCAATAAAATTCTAGGAGACCTAATTCAGCAGCACATCAAAAAGAAGTAAATAAATAAACCATCATGACCACGTGGGCTTCATCCCAGCAATGTAAGGTTGATTCAACATATGTAAATCCATAAATGTGATGCACCACATAAACAGAAGCAAAAACAGAGATCTTATGATCATTGCAATAGATGCAGAAAAAGCATCTATTAAAAAAGCATCTAAAGTTCAGCACCCTTTTATGATAAAAACTCTTAACAAAATAGGCATAGATAGAACATGCTCAAAAGTATAAAAGCCACATATAACAAATCCAAAGCCAAAACCATACTGAATGGAGAAAAGTTGAAAGCATTCCCACTCAGAACTGGAACAACACAAGGATGCCCACTGTTGCCATTTCTATTCAACATAGTGCTGGAGGTTCTAGCCAGAGCAGTCAGGTAAGAGAATGAAATTAAGGATATTCAAATGGGGAAAGAGAACGTCAAACTACTGCTCTTTGCTGATGATATGAACTTATATCTAGAAAACGCTGAAGATTCTGCCAAGAAACTCCTGGAATTGATAAATAAATTCAGCAAAGTCTCAGGCTACAAAATCAATGTATACAAATAAGTAACATTCCCATACACCAACAACAGTCAAGCTGAGATTCATATCAAAGACTCAATACATTTCACAATAGCTACAAAGAAAATAACATACCTACAAATGTATTTAACCAAGGAGATGAAAGATCTGTACAAAGAGAACTATCAATCACTGAGGAAGGAAATTCCAGAGGATATAAACAAATAAAAAAAAACCCATACTCATGGATCAGCAGAATCAATAGTTAAAATGTCCATACTACCCAAAGTGATTTACAGATTCAATGCAATCCCCATCAAAATACCTCATTTTTACAGCAGCATCCAGAAACAAAGGAAAAATACAAAATTAGAAAACAAAAAAGAAACATTTATTTAAAAAAAATTTTTTTAAATACCTCATTTAGCTTAAAAATTCCTCCAAGCTTATCTATGTTATCACAAATGGCAGGATTTCCTTCTCTTGTAAGGCTGAATAGTATTTCATGGTATATACACACCACATTTTCTTTATCCATTCATCTGTTGATAGACATTTACATTGTTTCCATATCATAGCAATTATGAATAAGGCTGTAATGAACATGGGGATAAAGATATTTCTTTGACAGATTTATCTATTTCCTTTGCCTATATGCTCAGAGTAGGATGGCTGAATCCTAATGGTAGTTCTATTGTTAATCTTGAGGAACCAGCATGCTGTTCTCCATAATGGCTAAACCAGTTTACATTTCTACCAGCTTGTATAAGGGTTCCCTTATACAACCTCATCATCACTGTTATCTTTTGGCCTTTTGAGGACAGCCATCCAAACAGGTGTGAGGTCATATTTCTTTGTGATTTTATGCATCTATATTGAGCACCTTTTCATATAACCGTTGGCCATTTGTAAGCCTTCTCTGAAAAAATATCTCAGGCGTTTTGTCTATTCTTTAGTCAGGTTATTTGTTATTTTGCTACTGAGTTGTATGAGTTTTTTATATATTGATATTAACCATTGCTTAATAAAAATGAACATGGGAAGCCATAGTTTCAATATACTCCAAGTCCAGTGCCCACAAACATGTAAGCAAAACTCAAGTTATCTTGATTTCCTCAAACACTGTTCTAATCATAAACAAAAAAATATACATGTCCTTGTCATCATGACTTAATAAAATTAAACCAATCACTTATAAGCAAAATCAGCTTAAACAGCTTTGTTTTCCTAAAATATGATGTTAATATATAACAACTAGTCATGAAATGTGTTCAAATACTTTCTCCTTTGTGTTTTTAAGCTGGGCCATAACTACTGTAACTGAAACTTCCTATAACTTGTTTTGAAGTCACCTTGATGGTGATCATATCCTTCTCTTATTGTATGACAATAAACTTTTAAATTTTTAACTTTATTTTTGACACACTTTATTAAATATATCATTTCATTCTATGGTTTGCCTTTTCATTTGGTTGATAGTTTCCTTTGCTGTGTACAATACTTTTATTTCAGTGTTGTTGCTTGTGCTTTTGGTGCATATCTAAAAATAAAATTATTGCCAAGATCAAGATCATGGACTTTTCCCCATGTATATTCTTGCAGGAATTTTATAATTTCAGGTCTTTCATTTAAGGATTTAATTCATTTTGAGTTTATTTTTGTGTATGCTATAAAATTAGAATTCAATTTCATTCTTTTGCATGTGGATATTAAGGTTTCCCAACACTATTTATTGATGAATCTATTTTCTCCTCCCTGTGTATACTTTGTGCCTATGTCAAAGGATAGCTGATTGTACATGCGTGGGTTTATTTCAGAGCTTTTGGAGTATGTGTTTTTTTGTGTGTGGGCCAGGTCCATACTGTTTTGGTTATTATAGATTTGTAATATAATTTGACATCAGAGAGTATGTTGCCAGCTTATTTTTTTCTCAAGATTACTTTAGCTATTTGGGGCCTTTTGTAGTTCCACAGTGATTTTATGTCGGTATTTTTCTATTTCTGTGAAAAATGCCATAAGAATTTTAATAAAGATTACATGAAATCTGAAGTTTTGTGCATTATGGACATTTTTTATGTTAATTCTTCTGATCCATGAACATCGAATATATTTCAATTATGTGTGTTTTCTTCAATTTCATCAATGTTTCATACTTTTCAAGGTACAGAGCTCTCACCTCCTTGGTTTAATTTATACCTAAGTATTTTAATCTTTTTGATGCTATAGGAAATGGACCTTCCTTCCTTCCTTCCTTCCTTCCTTCCTTCCTTCCTTCCTTCCATCCTTCCTTCCTTCCTTCCTTCTTTCCTTGACAGAGTCTCACTGTGTTGCCTGGACTAGAATACTGTGTCATCAGCCTAGCTCACAGCAACCTCAAACTCCTGGGCTCAAGCAATCCTCCTGCCTCAGTCTCCCATGTAGCTGGGACTACAGGCATGTGCCATCATGCCCGGCTAATTTTTTTCTATATATTTTTAGTTATCCAGCTAATTTTTTTCTATTTTTAGTAGAGACAGGGTCTCGCTCTTGCTAGGCTCGTCTGGAACTCCTGGGCTCAAACGATCCACTCACCTCAGCCTCCCAGAGTGCTAGGATTACAGACGTGAGCCACC